GTATTGATTATAGCGATCTATAATTATGGGAGGGAAGTGATTACAGATGTGGGATCCGACCATTTCGGTATTAATCAAATAGATTATGTAGGATAAGTGAACTAGAATGAGAGACAGAGAATGGCTGTACTCTTACGAAAACTTTACAACTATCAAATAAGCGGTAGAAACGCATTACTTAAGCGGCAACCGCATCAGCCTTGCTCTCAACTTCTGATTGAAAAAGAATTCCACAGCCCATTTGAAGTATTACACCACTTGATGTAGGTCAGAATGAAGATATCTCGGGTCTGCTCTTTTGTTAAACTCACACTCTACCGCCCACATCACTGGATGTTTTGATTAGAGGGGACACGCACCCAAATATCGAATAGATGTATTTTTAATGAGATGAGACCCTGAACTTAATTATCGATTCCCTCTTGAAAGGAAAACAGAAGAGCTTCTTTACGCCAAGTCTATGACATTGACCACAAAGGGGAATAAATAGGATATATCTGTTCATATCCATCTGACATGGCTCAATTATGGTTTTATTTCAATACGCCGAAATTAAGCCTGTCCCGAATGGGTAGTGCATCATTTTAGCCACTAAACCTCTCTGATCGTGTGATTTCGCAACACTTAAATAATCTCATCTGAAGAAAGTTAAAATTTGTAGCATTGAGTATGTGGACGATAAAAGGTTTGGATTGAATCTTCAGAGTAGCCTAACCCCAGTTTCAAATAAGCAAACGACAGGAAACAGTATCGACTTGTATGTATGCCCTATAAAGGTCACGGGTTTATCACCTTGTGAATAGAATAATTGATCACACAAGTTGGTACCTGTTAATAAAGAGACGGCCAAATATGTACATTTCAGTGAGAGAATGTCTTATCAAGTCTCAATTAAAATTAATTTATGATTACCTGTTTTTTCCAACAAAAATGAAATTCAGATTTGTGGAACCTAAGTGGTTTCTCACGAGCATGTAGACTTGGTTCTTAAGTATTAACGAATAGCATCAGCCAATGTTTTCTACAGATAAGGCAAAGGAAGAGAATGTACAATGAGACTAAGCTATGCATATACGAATAGGAAATCAACGCCATTGGGTTCACCCTACGACGCAATAATAACCTAGAAATCATCAATGGACTGTTATAACATTATCTGCATATGGTTATCCAGCTCAACCAAAAGATATTACGGCTTTGGCCCTTTTTAACTATTAAGGAAAATAATAGGAATAATTTGACTTGGGTAGTGGGTTGATGTCATGAGGAGGCTTTTCTCTCATCGACCCTCTTTTCTGCTAAGACCTAAAAATTGTAGATACGTGTTGATGGCTGCAAACCCCCATGACCTCTAACTTAGCAGACGCGTCTTGACCTATTTATGTAAAATTCACTTCTGACTATAATACTAGAAAGACAATTTGACCCACATTTCAGGAAACAGTGTGACCCTATTGTAATAAAATCAATTGTGTTAAATCCAGGTTCATATGTGAATTTGTTTAACTGATTCGAACAATTAACGCAGGGTGAAAAGGGCAGTAATAACGGCTAAATAAGCACCGCTAGCCATATTAACTAATTTTCGCGGTCACTGAAAAGCCCACATAAGGGAATTGTCAGACAGTTAATCAGTTAAATTAGAGATACTGTCACATTGTATTCCTTTATGACTCACTAATGGCAAATAAAAATTTAACGTGGGTGAAATTGCACACCCAGCATCGTGTTGAGAACCTTTGGCCTTTAGTGAATGGACTTAAGTCGACTAAGGGCAAAAACATAGAGAAGACTTTTCGATTTTACCCCATTGCTTAAGTACCGACCAATCAAAAGCGTCAATTTTAAGGTTGCCCACATCGCGTGAAAAAGAGCGGATCCTATTCCTTACATATAGCAAAAATAGTGTTAACAGAAATACAATATAATTTTCAAGTACATTCAGCAACCCCTCCACCCCCACTCCATTCATCATGGCTGGTGGAATAGCATTGTGTATCTGCCCTGATGAACAACTTTAATCCTTTATTAAATAGTCTTTAACAGTGTGACAGACTGCCGAGAAGCGAACTAAGGTATACTCCCCACTAACCCCTTATACGAACACGCTAATTGCTGCATTGGAATTATAATTGATGGTTTTGGAACTAAATGGGTCAATTTAGGGTCAACACACAATGCACTCTTTATGTGCCGATCTCATTTGTAAATTCCTCCGCATTAATCGATTCCCTTACCAATGACTAGTTCTTCTACTCTCACAATTTTCTGTACGCCATCTTCTTATGTGTGGACTGGCTCCACACTCAGTGTCACCGTTCTGTCGTATCTGTGTTAACGACCTCGGGTTTAGTGAAGACAACCGTTCATCAAGATTTTAATTTCCTGCATCGTGACTTCACCCCACCTATCATTGCTTAAGACACAGCTGTAATTGAAATTTGGCATGAATAAAGCGATTAACCCAGGCATTACTTAGGTCTTAAATTGTTAACCCAGCAAAATGGGGCGGAGACTGTGTCGATGAAACAAGCAATTTTGGCATTGAGGACGCCTATTATGCAATTATTGAAATGGATCGGATGCACAATGACCAACGATCTCGAGTGCGTTGTCTTCAGGGGTGCAGGAGTCACTTGTATTGTTGCTCTGATCCCCCCTAATTTGATTGTAATAAAAATAGACCAAGAAATAAACCCTATGCAACGTGTTTTTGTAGCTAAATTTCACTCTATTATATTAGCACTTATGGGGTGTGCGATAGACTTACCTCCACGTGGTGCACCCTGGGCAACGTATACTCATACGACGAAAAGGTTTATATACTGGCAGTTGACTTCTGACTTCAAGCTACCATCACCCCACTCTATGTCATATTCCACCACTTGCACAGTATTCGCCTTACCCTACTCTCTACCTTTGTGTCTGTCTCTTCTACATCTTTGAAACACTCTTCTGTTCCTCCGATTTTTTTTCACTCTGATGTTCCTTCCCCTCTGTGAAGCCTGAAGTCAACTAAAAGGTTAATGATAATTATAAAAACGCCTCCCATTTGATATTAAAAAATATTATCACTTAGTTCTCCGTTTATGAAGAAACCACATTCGCTCATCCCTTGTTAAATGAACTGCTAATTCATTACACCAGATAACTTACTGCCCTTATTTATTGATATTAAAAGAATGGCTCTTCTCTTCAGTACATGCGATTCTCGAAAAACATTACTATTATTATTTCAAATGGTAGGCTTTATGATATTTATCATGGGGAGTGCGATAGACTTACCTCCACGTGGTGCACCCTGGGCAACGTATACTCATACGGCAGTTGACTTCTGACTTCAAATTACTATCTCCCCACTGTATGTCAGATCCGACCACTTCCACGGTACTACTTTTTTACCTTCGTCTTTGAAACACTCTTCTGTTCCTCCCTTTCGACTTTTTTCATTTTAATGTTCCTTCCCCTCTGTGAAGTCAGAAGTCAACTAAAAGGCTAATGATAACCATCGAAACGCCTGCCATTTGATATAAATAATGATATTTATCATTAGCATTGTAAGTCGGTTAGCTTTCCATTATATTAGTCGATATATTCAACTCTATCTCCCATCGGTGTTACCAAGGCGCAAACAAGGCCATTTAAAATGTCACGAACTCAATAAGGAGCTTGCCGGTTTAGAGCCGACAAGCTACTACAGAGCGTCCCATATATAACCCACACTTGGCATAATCTTCATATGTAAAACATAACGCTTTATACACCATATTGCCTACTGCAGAGGATGCAAACTCCCAGTTACTCAAAATGGGAAAGCATCTTAAAGAGTATGAAGAGAAGTCACCGAAAGTATCTGGATAGCGGAGGTAGAGTACTACTAGACCTGAACCCCGGGGTTATCAAGCTAAATGCCCTTTTTCTAGTTTTAATTCGACAAGACACTTTAATACTTCGTATCCGTGCGACGTCGTAGCTTCCCTCTTTCCCTATTTTTCTCATAGCACCAACAAACAAGAGTCTAACAACACATGATCGCGATTGATCCACCAGTGGCTTCTTATCTCGCATTCACCACCCAAATTACTCACCGAACACCTGCTTACATTCGCCCAACCCACCTTAGGCATACTGATTAAAAGTAATTACTTTATAAATGGAGGCGCAATACTACTTCGGACAGTATTCCACCTCTGTGAAGACACCATAAACCCGGCCCCATTTTTGAAATTATTCGTTAAGATCTCATAGACTCACCTGTTGGAAACTAATACTCGCTCCCTTACGACAGGCAACGTTAGATAGACGGTACAAGGAACTAATCCCATGCTTCCAATCCCTCTGCTCGAAGCACTACCGATTGGAGTATTCGTCGAACTTTCACTAGACGTCTTTTGGTCACAGTCTAGCTTAACCAAGTTCAGCCTTTATGACTCACGAAATTTTGACAGCACCCATATATTCAAATCCTGACGGAAGAGTTGAGCTCATTCTTCGAAAGCACACAACCAAATGTCTACAACAAGACCAAATTCCCAACCCCCCCCCCCCGCGAGTTAGACACCTGTAGACAGATTAACCATGTCTGGACATGAGAGGTCCGGCCACAGACCACCCTGGGATGGCAGTTAAAAGCTTTAAAATTTCAATAGGCACATTAATAGGGTCTAAACATGACAAATAGATAACCCACACATCCAGACGACACAAGCATGGAAAATATTTAGCCAAAAGACCATATTTTTGTCTATAAATACACACACACGCATACACGCGCACTCACACACTGTACATGAAGGAGAAGCATTAAAAAAGAAAGGCTGTAAAATGTGCAAATCTAAGTCACATGGCCTTTGGTCTACTAAGAGGTCCGTGTCGACAGAAATAAGTATGATATAAAAAGCGATTCGCGAGATAAAGATACACACAAATCGAGATGGGTTTTTCAAGGGATTTCCCTGAATATAATAGAAATGAGGACTATCTGGAGATAAGGGAGAAAGCTAAAAACCCTGAGTACTGCCAGCAGAAGATGGACCAACTTTGATACCTTTTGAAGATCCTGTATTTGACGATACAGTTCCGCTTGAAGAATGGCTCTGATCGTAGCCATCAGCTTCGCCGGTAGGAGTACTTAGTGCATCATGAAGCGCCTCCCTCTGAGAAGCTAAATGCTCCTCTTCACTAATATACACATGTAACGGTTGCTTGCTAGAGACAGCACTTGGTGGTGGTTCAGCTGTTGTCAGGGAACATGGTTCAGGTGGGGACAGGTTAGTGAGAGTTCGATCTAGATCACTCTCTTCAACAGTAGTGGTTCTTCTGTCTTGCCGAGAATTTGGTGAAAGGAAATTGAGGAAGTTAGAAGAACGGGTAGGAATTTCTGAGGAGTCGTTTTGGGGACAAGGCGATGCGCCAACATGGGGAAGATTGTCGTACGTAAAGTCGTCAGTTGATGATTGCTGCTGATGTTGCATACGATAAGTAGGTGAGGAAGTCGCGTTTGCATGAGGCTAAAGGTAAGAAAAAAACGAGATGAAAAAAAGCACATTAAGGAGAACCCAAAAACGAAAGTGACTTACCACAGACCAAGAAGCCCCCTCGTTCTCGCTCCCAGGAGGTATGACAACAGCCGGACTCATAGCTGTAAAGTCGGAGAAGTAGTCTGTTTCAGTTTCCCTCTGTCGATAAGCGGCAGAAGTTGAAGGTGTAGACGAGGAAGTGGGATTACCACTAACATAGTAGTCTTTATTTGGACTCAAGCCACCCAAATGAGTTCGAACCTGGTAGGAACCAGAACAAAGAGACAATTAAATGATACAAGGTGTGGACTGAAAAAACTTAACAAAAATGACATACATTTTCATGCCAGTTATTTTCGCAAAAAATTACGTAATTACAAATATATGGGTTACAGAGGGTATCATAAATGGGTAATGAAGAGAAACTCATATTTCCTACCTATTTGAAAGCCAGGTTTTATGATTTTTGACTGCTGAACAAGCACCGTTAGTATCGACTTAGAACCGGAAAATGGATTAATCAAGAACTTCCCTTTCATCTAGTAGTTGTGAGGAGAGAGAAAATGTTCTCAGAGATCTATTGGCCAATGATCGACTAGGAGCCACTTAGTTTTCTTAGTGAAGCTTTCGGAAACTGTGCACACAAAGTTGAATGCGAAAGCTGATCAAACCAGCAATACTCACTTAACCGCTGTGAAAGATTCTACCTATGTACTCCGATAGAAAAAAGAACTAATACATGAAATTTACCGATATCATCGGGATTCATGGCGAATTGAGAACAAAATGACTTTCAAAGGATTTATAGGGGAACAGACACTGTATAAAGCAAAGACGAACCAAATCAAAACTCAAAAATATCAAATAAACCGCGACCCCCCCCCCCTCATACCTCCAAAAATCCAAACACAAAACGAACAACTAAAAGCAAATCCAACTTCACTACTTCCACATGTTTGCCTAGCGTCACACTCCACAGGGGCATTAAAATCGACTGCGGATGTTTATATAAACTCTCCACCTTAATGATGAGGACAAGCGTAGAGATAGAGACGAAAATGACTCATTTCGCCCCCCCCCCCCACGCCCTACCTATAGCCAGTCAACATCACGCAGATGAATCATGCATCCAACTAAATCTTGGATTGGCCCAGTAAGATGAAGACACAGTTCACAGATTTATTCATGCCTCCCAAAATAGGTGGGATAGGGAAAAACAGACAACAAAAAAACCCAACACATGACTTGCGTTTCAATGTGTAATTAAGACACATGAACCGCGCACCATCTCACTCTATGGCATGGTGTGGGAGATTGTTATATGGGAATTGGAACACAAGTTCACACACCCCCTCCCCCTCTTAGTACCCCGAATGAGGACAATCACACATAAGT